GGCTCTTAAGATGTTAATTTTGTTCATTCTGTCTGGTGGCTATTTTCGCCAAAGTTCACTGCGCAGTACATTCCGACTGGCGGCGGCACGACACGGTTTGACGTCATCCAGGGAGCCCTGAATGACGCCCGAAACGGCACAGAGGGGCGAGCGAATGAATTCAACTATTGGCGGACTCTGCCGGTGAATGTGTGAGAAGTTCATATTTCATTTGTGCGCTATTCATACTGGGAGTTAGACGGCTGCGCTGACTCCCCTGGGTTGAACTCTGGTGGCGCCGCAGGTCTCACTGGCTAAGCCGGTGACATTCAGCCAGACCTGCGGTAATCCGGTGCGGGTAATTGACGGGCCACAGGGCTGGTTATCAGTCCTTTGATGGCCGTCCGGACGGTACTCAGTAATCCCCCGGTCGCCGTACCCTCCGACTCCCCAGGGAGACCGCGGGCTCCGGCGCGCCGCTGATCAGCTGGGGCTGTTTTGATCCCGGTCTGTCACCATCCAACCATATGGTAACCCGATCCCGGCAGGGCCGACCCTCCTGGACCCTGGCACCCGACCCTTCCACCCAATCTAACCCTACCCTGCCGGCTGTTCGACCCAGCCGCCCGGCCGATCGGTCGGTCGGTCGGTCGGTCGGTCGGCCGGGGGACTGCCTCGCCGCCGGGGGGCGTCGGTGGGGATGGGGTGGCGTGCCGGCCGGCAGTTGGGTGTCGGGCGCCGGCGGCGGCGGACGGCCCGGTTTCCTCGTGTCTCCAGCGGCACACCATGCCGTCGATCCGCCTCCTGGACCGCCTCCGTCGCCGGCTGCACAGCCACCACGCGTCCGGCGGCACAGCTAACGCGTCCGGCACCGCGCTCCGGCAGGTGTCGCTGGGCGAGGACACGCTGTCGTCGGCCAGCAGCCTCACCAACGTGTCGACCATCAGCAGCAGCTACGTGGGCGACGAGCTGGACCTGGACGACTGGGAGGACGACGGCCAGGAGGAGGAGCACTACCCCGACCAGGACTGGCTGACGGTGGACCGCAGCGCCGCCCAGCTCACCGTCGACAGGTGAGCAGATCACACCCGTGCACCCTCTCACTTTCTCACATTCTCGCTGTCGAAGTTCGATAGGTAATCGCTAGGTTCTGAGGGATGACTGTGTTATGTTGCGCCCGTTATGTGTGTTTGTGCCACACAGTGGTGATGTTTACTGTGGTGCGATGATGAGCCTGTAACGTAATGAGCTGGTATGTTTGTGTCTGTGGTAGGCCGGTCTGTGATGTTCTCGTCTGTTGTCGGGTGACTGATGCAGCCGTACAGCGGTTCCGCTGTGTTGGCGGCCCGGGCGACTGTCAGGATTGGCTGCAGCTCGCCTCAGTGACGTCAATGCCGTCTGGCGCTGGGCGCGGCTTTCCCCCGATCCCACAAGTTGCCACAGTGTTGGCCCGTTGTCAGGCGCTCAGTTTCTAGTGCATTAGCCTGTTGGCAGTGGTAGCAGTGATGGCGTGAACCGTGCGGCTGCATGGCGCCATTGTCCAGTTTGGATCGGCCCTCAACAGCCTAACCCACTCGATACCGACCGCATGACATTTCGGTGAAGTCGGCTATCGATGCTGGTCGCCTTATGTGTCGTAGTTCCATTTCCCTGCACGTCATGTTGTGCAGCGTCTGACGACACTGTCCGATACCGTGCCCCGCTGACCGCAGGCGGCAGGACCCCTCTGAGACCTCTGTCCGATACCGTCCCCCGCTGACCGCCAGACCCCTCTGTCCGGTACTGAGCCTCCCCGCTGACCGCCGGACACCCCTCTGTACGGTACCGACCCCCGCTGACCGCCGGACCCTCTGTCCGGTACTGCGCCTCCCCGCCGACCGCCAGACCCCCTCTGTCCGGTACTGAGCCTCCCCGCTGACCGCCGGACACCCCTCTGCTCACCAGGAACTCCTCAGCGGCGTCCAGTTTCCGCTCGGGGATCCACTTCACGGCGCGCGCGTGCGCCACTCCGTCCAGTGTCGGATCCGGGATCCAGTTCTCTGTAGGTCCGGCCACGGCCGCGTCCAGCTTCAGCTCGGGGATCCACTTTTTCGCGCCGCCCGCCATGGAGTCGGCCCACGACGAGTTCGCGCCCAACACCCTCACGGAGGAGTACGGCAAAATGCTCACCATAGAAGATCTCAAGGATTACAACAGTAACTGCCTCACGTAAGTGCATGCGGTCCTGGAGGGGCGTTGGGTGTTGGCCAAGACGGCAGTCCTTGGATGTTTATCGATCAGTATTATATAATTTATCAACACACTATGATGACCTTCAATTCAAAGGCCAGAGTGATAAGTGATGGTGCAATTTTTGTTTGTATTCAATTGAGGCGCCACTGGGAGATGCCGGAAAACTTGCGACGCAGTCCCGATCCATGATCTATGACTTGTCCACTGCCCCTTGACCTGCCCTGTGATGTGCCCTATGGTCTGACCTGTGACCGGTGACCTGACCCGTGTGCCCCTCAGGTGCGGAGTCAGCTGGCGGAACGAGGAGGCGTCTCTGGACTGTAACGAGTGTGGAGGGTACCCGCTGCGCCGGCCGTGCCCAGAGTGCTGCGGGCAGTGCGGCGCCGTCTGGGAGCGCGACCTCACCAAGGTGAGAACCGTGAGATGTGAGAGGGGTGTAAGGGTGGGAGGGTGAGCCGTAGGCAGTTCAGAGGCGTTAGCAAGGCGTCGGAAGATTCGAGTTTGTGAGATGTCAGCTCAAAGCATACGATAGGACCTGTGGGCCTATGAATCTTTCAAATCTGTGAAACCGGAGGCTGAAAATCGAACACGCCCCGCCGCCTCCGGCGGCCGGCCGCAGCCAATCGGTGGCTCCCTGTGCGACACCTTTGGGTCGGCACAAATTGATGACACATGTGCGACGATCATCACAGCTGTGCGGCAATCTGCAGCAGATGCTGAATGATTGCCGTTCGTGACCGATATTAATCAGCGCAACTCCGCACCAGCATCATTGACGGCGTCCTTCACGTGTGACTGCGACATAGGACCCTATGTAGTTCGTCATACGGTGACCTGCACTTTGGACCACTACCCCTCATGTGCCATGTGACCTTGACTTTTGACTGGCCCTCCGTTTAGAGCGCGCATTGGCTGTTGACCATAGCCCCTGAAGCATAACCTTTGGCCACTGTCTGTTGGGCATCAACTGTGACCTTTGACCTTATAGTGGCGGCTGTAACCTGCACCCCATCTGACCTCCTGGCTCTCTGTGTTTCAGTCGCACGATAAGGCGCTGGCCGCCTTCTCTGGAGTGTGTCTGTTCCAGCCCAACAAGGGCCGGTGCCAGCACATCGCGGCCGCGGCCGGCGGCAGCTGATGGCAGCCGTCCGCACGGCCGCCGGACGGCCCCCCCCCCCCCCCCTAGGCCAGGTCGAGAGGCGCGGGCCGCCGCCACACACCGCTGTGAATTGTGTCGTTCCGTCGCGATTGCCACTGTTGGATTAACCAGCTCGAGCGCGGGCGCGCGACAGACTCGTGCGCGCAGCACTGGGGCAAAGTGACTGTGTTCTGCGTCTTGTTTACCACTTATGAGCGAAATAAAGTTGCTAGCATTACTCCGGCGCGATTTTGGAATGGTTGGTGTCTGGGAATCCGAAGCTGGATCTGAGAAGGAACGCGGGAGTGATATGCGAATAAGTCACCGCAGTCACCTTAGGAACTCAGGGAATCCACAGCTATGGACCTAAGGCACCTATCATTTGTCTGATCATCAATAATTTCCACTACAGTGCACTACCGGAGCCGCACAAACCTTCCCGGATCATTGCTCGAGGGACACTTCCGTCTACTTCAGTAGGCCGTCTTCGAGTCCACCTAACCGCGCGCCCTGAACACCGAGCCCCCAGGCACCGAGTAGAGACGACCTTGAACCATCGCCGGAACCCCGGGCGATGGCCGACCTTATATAACCTTGACGCCAACACCAGCCCACCAGAGGCAATGAAATGAACCAATGAAATGAACCAAAACACATGGAAATAAAGCTGCCTCATAAATCACAGGAACACATTAATGTTTGCAGTCGGAGTGATGAAACTCGGTCATGTCGTGTACGGGATGTGATAATAGTTCCATTTCGGGTGAGTTGAATCAATCACTAAAGCGGGAGCCATTTGATTTCAAAAGTCTACACAGGAATGCGTTCTGTCTTAACTTCCCGCATGCCTCAGCCAGAATTAAGTAGTCGCCGTTCCTCCACTCCACAAAGCTGATGCATTCTTTGATTGGTCCATGCTCTTATACGGCCTTGGGTCCATGTGTTGGCGTCATAAACGGTTTTAGGGCGTTATTGGAGGTTTCCGTTTCCATGACAACAGTGCCTCGCACACCGGTAGTGACGTCAGCACAGAGCTGTAAATGCCTCCCGTTAGAATTACCCAAGGCCGTAGCCATGCGTTGCTGGATCACTTACGTCATGCAATTGAACTAGGGTATTACACAATACGATGTAATACTACAGTTGTAGCCATCGGTACAGTCATATCGAAAAACGCTCGGACAGGCGAGGACCAGGCTAGCCCCTACCATACGGTCTTTTCCCTGTGACACGTAATAGATACGGCCGATGAACATGGTATGTAATCTACAGCTACAGCTCGCTCCAGACGGCGCGGCGGCCGGTCTTAGAGCAGACCCAGTTAGCGGGAAGACGCGGCAGTGACCCGCCCCGAGAACTGCAATTCAACCGCTGGATGTCTCTATCGCCGCCACTGAGTCTTGGAGAGGAGCTGGGGGTGACTTCCCCAGACTCCGCGAGCCAGCCGAGCGTCCCCTTTTGTTTGCCAGCGTGGAGGGTAGGTAGTATGGCCGTGGACCACAGTGGTGCCGGCCGGCCTCAGCAGCGCCCTCTTCCGTCCAAAACACGAGAGACAGAGCCCGCCCGCCCGGATCCGTCCGTATAACCTTGCTCGGAACTATTTACTATTCACACAGCCCTATTCACTAGTAACAAACAGCAGCAATAGGTATTTCTCTTTTCACTAAGAGCATATATTGTGGAGAGTGACGCATTGACTTACAAGTAACAAACGAGACAAAAATACATTTCAATCTTCCTCTGCACATACGATGAACATGATACAAGCCACATTGTACACACATCTCAAACACAGTCCGCCTACAAAGTCACGTGCAGTTGATAATATAATTTGGCAACTTATCACCCATGCTACTCAGTGCATGCCAAACAATACCGGATCGTGACTACCTCGGAAGTGCTAAAAGGAGTGAGTAAAATGGTGGGAAGACTAATATTTCGAGGATAATAAGTAATCTACATACTTCGATGAATAGTAAAATATACTTCTGATGAGAATCATAATCGGATCAAATAATATATCAAATAATCGGAACACAAAACTGGAATGTCAGCACAGACATACCTACTGCCCTACGGTGCTCTAAGCTGCTCGAACATGACCATAGTAACAATCATTGAACTGCAATCAACGTATGCAATTGCACACACGTCCGATCAAGATAAATAAACACATGGAGTTACCAAATGCTTCGGGAAAAGGAGCAGCGTGGTTCGCGGACAAAACGCAGTCTCCAGAAGTATGGAAGGTTACGTATGGTTCCTTAGGGACAATATCCAGTCAACGGTCTTTGGACGGAAGTATTTTATACGTACAGGCATACAGTAGTCACTTCGAGTACCTACAAGAAGGGACAAAATAATAAGAGTGCCTACCCCTACCTTAACAGACGCTTACACAAGTGAATAGTTCATTACAAGACTTGGATGACTCAAAATTACGAACTCTGCCTTTTCGTAAAACAGCTCCAGACGTGCTCAACCACAAAAGGGACAACAATCCATACCAACGTCAAGACTTTACACAACATTTTGGTATATCTTGAAAGTGTCGGAGCCGTATCCAGGCTTAACTCCGAAATACTTTTGTAAAAGAAATAAACTATCTGTGATTCCGCTTTAATGAAATATTTTCAGCTTCAGGTTAGCCCGCAATGCCTATAAAAGTTTATCTGCCATATGATTATACTCATGAGAAGTGACGATGCTAAAGTTGAAGAAACTTTACTGAAATTTCAGCTGTTATATGCCAAATAAAGAATTTAAGAGGTGTGAAGCACCGCTTAACGAATAAGGGAAGCCCAACGGCCATCACGATACTAAACACATATAATCGGAAGCAATAATCTACACAGGAGAACCGCTTTACTTCAACAGCGGATGGAATGACGCAGGATAGCGATTCAACACAGGAAGAGATCGGGACAGACGTCGGACGGTACACCACCGGACTCTGTGCCAGGAGCTCGCACCACCCGCTACGGTACACGGACACTGCACACTCGCCTGACTTCCTCCTCAAACCTCACACACCAGCACAGGAACACACACAGAACACAGACGACCTCGAGCCGTGTTAGCTGCCCACGGGTGAGATCATTACCGCTACACAATTCGGCCCGTCAGAGGTTTACCAAAACACCCATCACACCGGCTCGCACATACGGCGCTATTGCTCGGCAGCATCTCAGTTTGTCGGGTCAGAGTCCAGCCCGCGCTGAACACAGCGGCCCCCGAGGCCGGCCGAGGTCCGCGAGACCGCCCCGACACCTGGCGGCGACCTACCGAACCGACTAGACCGACTAAGCCCGCCGCGCTCAGTGAAGACTAGACTACTTTGGTTGTGGTGCCTCCGCGACCGACCGCGGCCTGGCTATGCCGAGACAATACGAGCAACTAGTGTCACCTATTCCACGGTGGGTGATTGGAGCTCTCAGTTAGGTGACGCCATCAACGTCCCTTGGCCAGGCTCCGTTCGCCATGACTGCACTAAACACTTCGGAGCTCATACATGGTATGACGAATAAGTACGGACGGTCAAACGCTCAGCAGCTAGCATTACCCATGACTGTCTACCAGTGCCTTCAGAACAACGCATCCACGATTACACTAGGCCCTCGAATCTACACTAACACGTCAGAGGGGACCCGGCTTTTAGAGCACTCTTTGGTGGACAGCTAGCGCGCTCACCACTCACAGCTTCAGGTGGCGTACCTCTCTGCTCCAGCACGTCTGCCCCGTCATCGAGTCCGTCATCGACTCCAGACTGTTGAGGAACGAGTCGTTGTCCAGGTTCTCCAGATTGGTCATCTCGTCTCCCAGCTCCTGCAACACAGCGCCAGTGGCGGTCAGTCTAGCAACTATAACTTCCACTCCCCGCCGTCAGATGTCAGCACACGGACCTCACGTAGCCCACATTCCATACCGACTGAGTCACGGCCGGTGCGGTGATGGCGGCCGGCTCGGGACGGACACGCACCTGGGGGTAGAGCGGCGGGGAACCGGCCACCCCGGCCGCCGACCGGCGCCGGCGGGTCGGCGGGGGCGCTAGAAACTGGACACACCGCCCTCTGCCCGCCGCTCCCTGCTCCACGCCGGCGCGCAGAGCTAACCAACTGACGTCTGATCAGTGACCAGTCATCAAGACGCCTGAAACCTGACTGTACCCGAGGAACCGTACTTTTTCCCAACATCCTGAGTTCTTTGGAAGCATCGACAGAGTCCTGAGGGGCCCTGAGCTCCACCTCGCGCGCCCTCCCTGACCTTGGTTTTCGTTCGAGCCCCGACCACCCCTGCCGTCGCCCGGAGCCGCTCGCAATTCGCCTATCGCTCGATACTGCCGGCCTGCCCCCTGCCCCACCCGCCCGGTCGGTCGCGCCAGCAGGCTGCGTAGTTGTCTGGCGCGCGCCGCGGGGTCCCGCCCATTGGAGCCGGGCGGAGCAGCGCGCTGCTGCCGCCTGGCGGCCGACGGCCGAAGCTGACCGGCACGCGGCCGGCTCGTGTAATGGGTCTAGCCGCGGGGCGCGGGCGGCGCCGGGCGGGCAAACAGCCGGGGGCGCCGCCGCCGGCCAGCAGATGCGATCGGCGGATAGCGGCCAAGATTACTTTACTAGATAGCGGCCACCCTTTACCAGCAGTCCGGGGACGCTCAGAGGTGGCTTCCGGCCGCCATTCCACACACCGACCGACGACCGTTTGATCCGGAACTTTCCGAGCCCACCACGCCGTCCATATTTGGCCAGCGGGGAGCGGCGGACCTCGCGGGCGCGGCGCCGCCGTCAGCTTCTCCCCCGGTGGCGGCCGTTGGTCCGCGCCCGACCGACGGGGAGGGCCGTTTGGTCATCGGCTCCACCCGGCCCCGCAGCTCACGCCACCGAGGGATGGCCGGCCCCCGCAGCCGTGCCATCCTGAGCAGCAGCAGAGCTGAGCCGCCGCCAACTCTGGGAGCTGACTCAGACCGGCATCACGGGAAGCCCTCGCGGACGGACGGACAGCGGGCGAACGCGAACCGGCGAGCGGGGAGCGGCGGGCGCGGCGCCGCCGTCAGCTTCTCCCTCGGTCGGCCGTTGGTCCGCGCCCGACCGACGGGGAGGGCCGTTTGGTTATCGGCTCCACCCGGCCCCGCAGCTCACGCCACCGAGGGATGGCCGGCCCCCGCAGCCGTGCCATAGGAGCAGCAGCAGAGCTGAGCCGCCGCCAACTCTTGGGGCTGACTCAGACCGGCATCACGGGAAGCCATCGCGGGCGGACGAACAGCGGGCGAGCGGTGAGCGGCGGACAGTGGGCGGTTGTCAGCCCAGCCTCAGTGCCAGTGACACAAGAGCCCCTCCCCAGACAATGTGTCACCGCGAGTTCCTGGCAGCCAAGAGCGGAACATCGCGAGCTGGGGAGCTGACTAGCTGTGGTGCAGATTTCCGCTGCGATTTCCCAGCGAATTTCCGGCGTCGTGCCAGCATACACACACGAACGCGCTTGTAATTAACAGGTCCACAATCACTTTGTGTCCCAGCGCCTTCGTGATAATATCTAACAAAATACTCGCACGAACACAGAACACACATTACAGTGAACAATAGAAAACCCTGTTCCACTTTCACTCTACAAGTCTGGAAAACTGAACGCCTCTTCTTATTCCACCGTTTCGGAGCTCCTCTCGCCGGTCCATCTCAGACAGACCCTCTATGTCCACCCCCCGGCCCTGTCGTCTGTCCTTTCACCACCTGACTCAGTGCCCGCACTGTGTGTTAGACAGGTCGGTCACCAGTGAACGCCCCAGTACAGAGCCCGTCCTGTGTCAGTTGTCACCGCCTCGGTGGGATACGTCCTGCGTCAGTGTATCATCGCCTGGTTAGTCAGAGCGCGGCCGTGTGTAAAAGGCTCCATCTCGTCTGTGTAGTGTGTATCACCCTGCGTCAGTGTGTGTTTTGTAGTCTCTCTGTGCCTGTCTCTATCAGTTCTCGCCATGTGCCTGTGTCAGTATCCTGCCCTGTGAGTCAGTGTCAGTATCAGTGTCCTGCAGTGGGTACAGTCGGTGTTTTTGTCAGAGTCTCTCGCCCTCCCGCCGCGGGTACTCACGCTAACGGAAAAGTCTGTCGAAGCGTTGATGTAGCTCAGCCGAGTGTCGTCCAGCGGCGGTTCGCTGAGAATGGACCGTCGCTGCAGCACGCCGGTCCTCTGGACCACCAGAGCCGTGCCCACTGTGACAAACAGAGGGGACCGAGGTCAGCTGACGGGTCACCGACGGGCAGGACAGGTCACCCGGGACTGAGGGCACTGGGCTCATCGTATGTGAAAAGAGTGAGAAAATCGACCCGAAAAGTGTGTTAGGGCCTTGAGTGTGTTATGTAATTGCCGAGTGCGTGTGCCAGTGTGGCAGCAACGTTTTTCCAAGCCGGTAAGCAAACTCACAAACAAGAAGGGAGAAAGTTGAATCATATTGAAAGAACATCGTCATCCACCATCCATCTGCCTACCAATCTATCCGTTCAAAAGTACATCATCCCGCCAGTCTATCTGTCCATCTATTCGCCCACCGCAGCGATTGCGCAGTGCCCGCGCCCGCCGCCACGGCAGCGGCCGTTTGCCGGGCGCCGGCCGGCCACGTGGTCATGCAGTGGGCAGCGGACGGGACCCATGCTGCCGCCGCCGCACGAGACCAGACCAGACGGCTGCGCCAGTGCAAACTCGAGCTCTGTCGCGTCGGCCGCGGTGGGGGCGGAGTGAGGCTGGGGAGGCGGCGCTCGGTCGGGCGGCACGGGGAGCGCTGGGGACCGGTGAGGAATGGACGGGATGAGGATTAGTCACGCGTTCCGACCACGTCAGCAGAGTGCGCGCGCCGCCGGATGACGGCTGACGCGTCACCGGAGAGGGCGCCGTCACCCGTCATCGGGACGAGCGGCGCCGGGCTGACGGCCCCGCCGGTAATGGTCAGCCGATGTCGGCGGCACGTCCCGTCCGCTCGTGACCGGGCGATGGGACGGAGGGACGTGATGGGTCGGCGGGGCGCCGATCGGCCGATGGATGTCGGCGGGGCGGCGCCGCCGGTCGGCCGGCCGCTCTGTAGCGCCGCTCGGCCACACCCAGCCGCCGCACCGCGTATCGATCCCACTGCGGACAGACCGACGGCGCGGCGGCGCCCGTCCCCGCCCCGCGCCGCCGTCATCGGAGCCGAGCTAAACTGAGCGCGCCCGCCGGCGGCGCCAGCTGGCCGAGCCGCCGCCGCCGAGATGACGCGGCCACACCGTCATCGCGCCGCCGACGTCACCGACGAGTCGAGAACAGTCATCGGCGCGGAGCAGCGGCAGCCTGCGCCGAGCTGGGGCCGCAGACAGGGCAATACGAAACCACGCCCGTGGCGCTTACAAAAGCCCAGTGAGACAGGTAACTATAGCTGGGCAGGCAGGGAGGCCACGGCTATTTGCAGCTCACTCCGGTATTTCTACGCTAACAAGATCGGGGATGGCAGCGTAGTTCCGCCATGACGAAAAAGTTAATGGATTCCGAGTGCACACCGCACATCCACACGAAAGTCTACTTCTCTGGAACTGCATGCTATCATGAAACCCCAGAGACCTCCGGCCCCAACTTCAGGTTGACCTCTGCACTTCTCTCTGCCTCTCACCAGTCGCCAGCCGGCAGCTCGCCTACAAGCGCGACCTTTCCCTTCAGACGAGTCTCGAGAGGCGGCGCAGGCCAGCTATGACCGCCAGCTGCCGCGTCTCCAATACAGCATTCCCAATATCTCCGAGCTGGAAATTCCTCCTCGCAGACGGGAGACGGTTTATGAGTTCAGATCCCAACAGACCGCCTTTATCTGGAGCCAATTTAGCCAGAACCAATACCCATTGGCACCCAGGGAACACATCGCCAGATGCGATCGAATAAACAACTACTTCACTTTTTATGATTAAAAACAGTCACAAAAAGACCTAGAGTGTACCCTGAGCTCCAACTCCCTCTAAATAAGCCTCTCTCTCTCCGCTGCGGACCGCCTCCCGGTGAATCTATCTACCCTCGCCCCAGCGGCGGTTTTTCCACCTCCAGCAGAGCCCGCCCCCGGCGGCGCGGCGTCGGTCCGACGTCGCCCACGACGCACCTACGCGTCACGCGTGCTAATTTGGTCGGCCGCGCGTGACTGGCGGCCGCGCGGAAGGTACTGCGTAGCGGGCGGTGTCGAAAACAGGCCCGGCGCGCCACCTCCAGGGACGGGACTGAGCGGCCCGGCTCAGGTGACGAGACGGTGCGGAGGGATGAGAGTAAAGCAAAGCGCGTCTCTCTCTCTCTCTCTCTCTCCATCTCTCTCGCCCGGGTTCACGCCCCGTCTCGCCGCTGACCCGGGCCAGACTGTTGACGCCGGCCGGTCGACGAGCGGGGCGGAGCAGCTCCTCAGCTTTGATCGATCGGTCCGTCTCCATTGATCAGCGTCCTACCCGCCGTTCGTCGCGTCCGTCCGCCATCTCCTCGGCAGACCGTCTGGCCCACTTCCCTCAGAGCCGCGCCGGCGCCGGGTCACGGGTCAGCCAGTCACCGGGCCGCCGGGTCACTCAGGTCAGCCGGGGCGAGCCCCAAGGTCAACAGACAGTCGGCGCCTGAGCCCTCGAACCCGGGCCGCTGGGAATTTTCCACCGGGCGCCACCACCGCTCAGCCATCGAGGAACGGCTGGCGCGGTCTCTCTCTCTCTCTCTCTCTCTCTCTCTCTCTCTCTCTCTCTCTCTCTCTCTCTCTCTCTCTCTCTCTCTCTCTCTCTCTCTCTCTCTCTCTCTCTCTCTCTCTCTCTCTCTCTCTCTCTCTCTCTCTCTCTCTCTCTCTCTCTCTCTCTCTCTCTCTCTCTCTCTCTCTCTCTCTCTCTCTCTCTCTCTCTCTCTCTCTCTCTCTCTCTCTCTCTCTCTCTCTCTCTCTCTCTCTCTCTCTCTCTCTCTCTCTCTCTCTCTCTCTCTCTCTCTCTCTCTCTCCTCTCTCTCTCTCTCTCTCTCTCTCTCTCTCTCTCTCTCTCTCTCTCTCTCTCTCTCTCTCTCTCTCTCTCTCTCTCTCTCTCTCTCTCTCTCTCTCTCTCTCTCTCTCTCTCTCTCTCTCTCTCTCTCTCTCTCTCTCTCTCTCTCTCTCTCTCTCTCTCTCTCTCTCTCTCTCTCTCTCTCTCTCTCTCTCTCTCTCTCTCTCTCTCTCTCTCTCTCTCTCTCTCCTATTCTATGCAGAAGCCAGCGACCAGAGGAAGAGTCCGAGGGCCTCAGGCGGTTCTCAGTAGTGCCAGTTTCGTATGTTCAGAGAAATGGAGCCAGATCTGATGGGGCCCCGCCCAGATCCGGTGTGGACTTCCCAGAGAGCAGGCAGATCGGGCTGCTATTCGCCAGTCTCTCGATGTTTGGATTCGCACAGTGTCTGCATTGTTGGATTCAAAAATAGCTTTGGAGTTAACTATTGCACCACCCGGGGACTTTCCGCCAATACCGTCATAGACCACATCAAATAACGCCGTGACCTGCATCCCACACCGGAATTAGATACTGGCCGTTAGCTTGAATATTGGCTTTGAATGTTGACGATTGCATCAAAGCACCGCCTTCACTAGTTTAACTTGAGCAAACCTTCCGAACCAATCCCTGATGCCTCTTCACCAGTCGCTCGTCTGCCGGGTCGAGCTGGCGGGATCAGCTGATTCAGCCCCTCGGGCTACCCCTGACGAGGGACGTCCGCCGCCGGCCCTCCCATCGATCCCGCAGCCCGCCCGACGGACCTGTCTCTGAGTCAGCCCAGGGTGAGTCGAGAGCCGGTCTGCGCAGCGCAGCTCTCACCGCCCTGAAGGGCGTCGCCCACAGCCCCAGCCGCCGGCACAGGCGCGGGGCGGTGGGCGGCGGGAGCCGCCTTGATACAGGCACGCAAACTGCTGTATGGAGAACTGCACAACTTCAAAAAGAAAGCCAGACTTCCTAGGTCCTACACCATTCACGTCCAACACGGAAGCCAAAGTCGAAAGGAGCCAAATTGGGTTCGGACATGGAAATCGCGGAAATTGACGGCGTGAAGTATGTCTGGCAGCCGGGCCAGCGTTTCCCGCTGGGCTCAGTTCCCGAGCCATCTGTCTCCGCCCCGCCGCACAGTGGGCCAGGCGCATCAAAAAAGCGGAATTAAGTCGAAAATCAACTTCGGTGAAATTCCTGTAATTATGGGATAGAGTATTGTAAAAATGTCCAAAGTTTCCGAATAACCAAGTTTCCTTTCCCCAATGTCAAGGCAGATAATGCTATAACGTCGCAAAGTAGGACTTACCGACTGGAGATGGAAATGACTGCTGTGTACCATTTTCCGTTCCCCCGATTCAAAAGCTCTCAGCGTAAAATCATTAAAGTTATTCCGTACAAAATAGCTTTAAAAAAACAGCCGGTATTTCTGCGCATGTTTCTCGTACTCAAGTTCCCGGGAACTATTTCATGCTTACTAGTAGCGGTGGGGTTTACAGTGCCTGTTCGGAACCGTGGCAGTGCAACGACGCAATGAATTTATATAAGGATATAAAGAAAACGTCACCGAACAACACGAAGATATTTGCTGCCTGACTTTCCTCAAGGTGTATAGCTTGCTGCCCAATGCAAATATTTTGCGCATTTTTGCGCGAAACAGACAAATAAGGGAGTTTAACCCTCGCCGGCATAGGCCGTTTTGCATCCCTCGACGGCACAGGGGGATGCGACCCTCCTCGCGTTTGGCCCCTAATTGAGCTAGAGCCTCGCGGAAAAAACCATCGTGTAGGTCGTCACGAGACGAAGCCAACGGTACCCGGTTTTAAGGTCATAGGTCAAATGGTGACCTCTGAGGTCAGGTCAATGGCCGAAAGTCGGGACCTGTTAGAACGTCGTATAGTGTGGCTGCTAAGGGGTTTTTCGGGATGCTGATCACGAATATCATGTTAGTTTTGATCACAGATGATGTCTTCATGCATTTAGGCCAGGTCGGGTCAGCTCAGGTCAGGTCAACCAGTATGGGTCCTGCCGGGTATTCGTAGTAGGTGTCAACCCGCCTCTGACAGCTTCGTAACATGTTACGAAGGCACCAAAACTACTTCGTAAATGTTCAAATGGTTCCTAAATTCGAATTCAGCTCCAAAAACTAGCCCAGAAACATGTAAAACTCGAAAAAGTGAACCGAGGTCATCGAAGGTCAATGATCTGACCTGACCTTCAGGTGACCTTTACACCCACCCTAATGCATGGGACCAACATCATATCACATGTTTGAACGCTTGAAACCACGAAAAGACTGCAAACGCGCGGCCAATGCGGCATAGTGCCCGCCTGTCCCAGGCATATGTGCAGCGCAGAAATTAAATAATGACGTCATAGGTCAGTGACCTAGCGTAACCAATCAAATTTGAAAATGGATATCGGATTCGGCTTTAGCATGATATTTTACCCTGTAACGAATCATTTTTGGCACCGCAGCTGTGCTCATTGATTTAATTCCGCTTTTTTGAAGCGCCTGGCCCACTGTGCGCCGGCGGTATGTGACACGACACGTGACCGGGGGCAGCAGGTGCCGGGCCGCGGCCCGGCCGGTGCCAGAGGCCGCCGTCGGTGAGGCAATCGTCGGGCGGCGCGGCGCCGCTGCCAGCCAGCCGACCGGGAGGGAGGGACGGCGGAGTTGGGAAGACGCCACGCGTCCGTCCAACGTTCGACCGTCCCTTCGTCCGGGCTGATCGGAGGTGACCTCGGAACTCACCGGCCAGAGAGAGGAATCCTAGGTGGCCCCGGGGAGGGCTAAGAATCTGAACTGACCCCGGTTAACCTCGGGGGTGCTGCTGGGAATCTGAAGTGGCCTCAGAGGACAGCCTCGGAGGATGATAGGAATCTCAGGTGACCTCAGGATTGTCTAGGAGTGATAGGAATCTGCGTGCCAACGCTGAGGCGTGGCAGTTGGACAACGGGACACTGCTGGCTAGTTTGAGGGACGACGAAGTTATTTACATATTGCGTTCGCAACAGTGAACTCATCCCATATTAGTGAAAATTTAATGTTGAAAAAGATATAATTGAAATTGTATGTTTTCTGACGAGCAGCCGGAGCATAATTCACGCGGATGCCATCTCGCTGTTTTGACACCATAACTCCCCTGACGGGCAGCAGCTGGCCGGCCGCCGTCTCGTCCCAGCCTTTGATCCCGCTCACAGCTGCGCGCAAATCCCGCCGAACCGCTCCGCGCCGGCGCGCACCGGCCGAGAGATCAAATCAGAGCACCGGCCGGCCGGCGCGCGGAGCCGCGTGGTCGGCTCGCTCGGGCCGCCCGGGCCTCCGTCCGCCGTTACCATCCGGGCTGCAGCGCCCTGTCCTGGCCGTTGCTAGCCCGCAGAGGCCGCCGAGCCTGAGAAGACGCACCAGTCACCACAGCGGTGCGTCTGGGCCGGCCAGCCGTCTGGCGGAGTGCCGGCTAGTGTTCTGGTCACCGACCGTCTGGTCAGTGTCAGAGGGAAGGCCCAGAGGCAGCCAGACCGAGCTGAGACGGACTGCGTTAGTTTGTACTGCAGTGAGCGGTGTTCATCAGAGGAACGGATGGCCAGCGGACGCGGCAGGGAACGGGAACAGACACCGCCGCACCCACCCCGGCAGGGCACTGTCGCAGTGAGGCAGGTCCGACTAGTCGGGCATACGAAACAATTACTCATGTTGGTGAGATGCCAACTCATACAGACAGCCCACCAGCTATTCAGGCAGTGGTTTTGTCACTGATCCACTCAGGTCACTCCGGGTCAAGTTTCACCGGGTCACGTGCCGAGTGTCATCTGGCCGCCGAGAGCAAGGTCATAGAGAAAACACGATAACCCCATCTGGAACTGGACGAAAACAGTGTAGCGGCCGAGCTGATGGCGCACTGATGGTGTGGACTGCGAATTGTGACGTAGCCTGTGCCAAGTGAGAATAAAATTAACTGCCGATGAATAAGCGGTTAGGCTGATATCCAATAGCGCAGCTATGCCATTGTTATCGGGTGGACACAGGCGGCTCGTTGGGGCGGCTGATGCGGTCCGTTGCAGGTAGCGCGCATTTCCGCCCCGTTCTGCCTCGCCGGCCCGTGTTGGGCGCAGCGGCACGGAATCTCTGCTCATTACTGTGAGACGCCGACCGCGACAACAGACGAACCGGCACTGGGTCTGGGCCTGTCCCACAGAGCGGCACTAGGTCTGGGTCTGTCCCACAGACCGCCGCTGGGTCGGGCTGGGTCTGGCTACGGGCCTACCCCACAGATCAGCTCCAGCTAGGTGCTGTCTGGTAGAGCGTGCAACAACGGATGTCGTCACCGCCCAGGTGCGCCGTCTCAGAACGCTGAGCAAACCCGCTGCACCGCTGTGAAATCGCGCCCACGCAGTTCAAACCAAGGTCAGTGATATGTCGAGCGAAAAACAGCGCGACGTAGCGTTGTCAACGCTCTGTGTAACCTCAGCACGGGTATCAGAACTTGCCTCTAAGATAAGGACATAGATGAGCACAGCGCACCCAACTTCTGCACTAAGTTCCAGCTGCCTCGGAACTTTCTGGAGCCGCTCCGCCAAGTAATTCCCAGACCTCGGACCATTTTCGCCGCAGCGGCGATGGCTAAATCCTCTCAGCGTTCAGCCAGTGTGTACCCCATCAGGGCCATCATCTGGGCTGCTCAGAATCCGCGGCAGAGCGGCGCCATATATTCAGCCCCGACAGCCCGCTGACGCCATTTCGCGGCCCGACTGAGCGGCCGATCCGAGCTCGGTGCGGTATCGCTCCTACCATAAATTCCGACAATCCCCGCCGCCGCCGCCGGGCGATCATCCCCGCATTGGCACGGGCCGCAAGACGTATTTGGGCCGTGATAACGACCTATCTGTGGCTGAATATGTGAGCAAACAGGCGAGGCAGCCACAGTGCGGCGCAGACCTTATTCGGTGAGATGCCATGATGTAGACTCTTGTTTTGGAGTTGCCATCGAATAGTTATTAGGTTAATCATTTCACGTGAGCTTCTTGGGATTGACCGTCAGGCATCAGGTGATCCATGGTCACGGCCAGAGGCCTGCCTTTCAAAAGAAACGGTCTCAGAGAGACAAAAGGCATTGCCTAGTAGGGTACAGTGTAATCCATGCACTGGCAATGTCACTGTACCAGTGCCATCCCGTCTCCCGTTCCGCTCAGCCGGTGCTCGTTTGGTTCCATTCGCCGCCCCCTCAGCCGGTATCCGTTTAGCACCAGCAGCCGCCCGCTCACAGGATCTCCGTTTAGCGCCATCAGCCGCCCGCTCACAGGATCTCCACTTAGCACCAGCAGCCGCCCGCTCTTAGGATCTCCACTTAGCACCAGCAGCCGCCCGCCCAGGGATCTCCGTTTAGCGCCAACAGCCGCCGGTTCCCAGCGCTGCGGCCGCGTCCGATTGACATGCCGCGCCGCCGCTGCATTCCAGGACGGTCTGCCGCGGCCAGCCGCCGGCAGACTGGGCCCGGGAGTCGACAATATGCCTCCGCGGAGGGTTCACCGGGGAGGGACAGCCGCACCGCCCAGCCGCGCCGCTGCAGGCGCTGATAGTCTATCGGCGGCTCGGCGCCGTCTGTTTGCCAGACACTTGGACAAGGATACGAGACGTTAGGGCGTGCTTACATCAGCAATGTCCGGCGTTCTGATCACATAGAGCGACAGGCTGAAGTTTATCACGACATGGACAGCGGTTTTACATCGAAAATACAGCACAATGGTGTGCCAATCGAATACATCCAACCGATTCTTCCTTGCACCTGGGCATTCCAACCAATACGGAAAGAAGACAGAGAAAAGACTGTCCGCCATTGCGTTCCACAATCATTAACCACTTCCCCGAATAGCCGACTCCACCAGACCAAAATCCATCCCTCCTTCCACGAATCAGATTCCTTCCTTCACGCCTCACACCATAACCCGGCACCACTCGGTCGGGTCTCTGACACCACCCAGCTCCCCCGACCTCACACGACCTCCATCACAGGCGCACAATGACCGCCGTGTAGCCGTGTCGAGCGGGGTACCCGGCCGGCAAACCGCGTCTCGCGCGGCCGCGCACCGGACGCGCCGCAGTTCATCACGAGAGCCGCCATCCGGCGTCCCGGCGGAGGTGGCGAACATCAGTGCCGCCAGACGGGTCGTCAGCGCCAGTTAGCCGCCGGTTCCGGCCGTACAGCGGTCACAGACAGGAAGCCCCAGCCGCCTCATGGGTACTCAGAGCCCGGATTAGAGAGAGGAGCTTACTGAAGGTCGCCACGAATGACCGACATGAAACGACCGTAATCCACTCAATTTATCGCCGCATTGCAGCTCACTTTCATACCGTACTTTTACCTGAGCGCGGTCCATTCCAGGACATTCCAGTTCTATCGAAGCGGCGGCGGCGACGACTCATCGTTTCAGTCACGCCTGGTTGGATTCCTAGGAGTAGAGTCAGTGGCGCGCCGGCCGCCCGGGCGGCCCGCTACCTCCGTATTTGGCGCGGGTCCGGCCAGGCGCGCCGGCCCGGCCCAACCCGTGGCGTGACCGAGACAGGGCTGACAGCCGCACGCAACAGGAAAATGCATCGATAATGAACGTGTAGCCAAAGCAAATGTCCATCACTCGGGCCTGAAAGCATGGCCTGATGCTGTGGCCATTGTTCGTTGGCAGGGGACAAAAATCGCGCGCGATATGCGAAAAGCATCGGTACATTGTCCGTAAAAAGGCCGACGGTATAGAAGGAGTGACACAGGCCGTCGGGGGCAACTGCGAGGAAAAGACGGCCTTAGCGGCCAGGACAATACAGGGCGAAACAGATTAACACGCTGCACACTGCCTACCCTTTTTCCTAGCGCTGGAGGCGTTACGTTCTCTGTCTGCTCATGTTCCTTGGTCATCAGTGCCAGACGTACCGTTAGTACCTAATGCGTGACTCAGCTTATTAGTGCTTACGCAGTTGATGTGTATGTTAAGGGATACAATGTACGAGAAGTGAAGGAAAATACATACATACAACATGCTGGCACATGAGTGTAGTCGCAAGTCAAGCTACGTCCATGTGCCTAATACCGATGCAGGTACTCACGTATGAAGGCGGCGGCGGCCAGGACGCAGCCGACTGCCACGGCGCTGATCTCCGCCGTGCTGAGCTGACGCTGCTGGTCGGGTGCTGAGCCGCGCGCCTCCCGCCGCACCGTCTCGGCGGCCGGGGTGCTGCCGGGGGGCGCCCGTACCCCGGGGACCGGCCGACTGGGCCCGCCGCTGCCCGACCACTCGGGGTCCGACCCAGAGGACCCCGAGTCGGGTACAGAGGCGGCCGGCAGGGCGGCGCCCGCCACCACCGCCGCCAGAGCGGCGTCCGGGCCATCGTCATCGTCATCGTCATCACCGTCACCGTCGGCGTCGCTGCCGTCGCCGGTGTTGGTCTCGTCTCCGTTGGACCCTGCACCGGTCGGCTGTGAGTTGCCGGTGTCCGAAGCTGACCCTGAGGCGACCCCAGCCTCGGGGTCGGACGGAGCCGGATGGCCCGGCGCCGGGTCCACCGCGACCGGCTCTGCGACTGGTGCTGCCACAGGCTCTTCAACGGGCTCCTCCACATGTTCAGCGACAGGCTCTGCGACTGGCTCAGGCACTGGTTCCGCCCCTGCTTCTGCGGCCGGTTCTTCGGCAGGCTCTGTCGCTGTTTCGTCATGCTCCTCGTCCAAAGGCATCAGCGGCAGCGTAGCCGGAGTGGCCGCGTCACTGTCCTCGGCAGACCCGCTGCCCTCGACATCGCCCGCGTCCGTCCGCTGCTCTCCCTCCGCTCTCTGCTCCTCCTCCCTCCTCCCCACCTCCTCCTCCTCCTCGCTCTCCTGTCCTCCGCGCTCCCTGCCCTCCTTCACGGCCGAGGTGACCGCCTTTTCGAGCAGCTCCTCCTGGACGGCGCGCACGTTCGAGCGTCGCGCCATGATCTGCTCCTCCTCCTCCTCCTGACTGTCCTCGGCGGTGACGCGCCGGTCGGGCAGCTCGGCCGTCAGCGCCGCGCTGCTGACCGCCACCAGCACCCGCTGGCCGCCGGGCTGGGGCTGGGGCCAGCGCTGGTGCGGCGCCACCAGCCGACGGAACTGCAGCAGGTCGGCAGGCCGCAGCACAGCCACTCGCCGGCCGTCCCGGGAGCGCACGTAGCCGTCCGCCGGCGCCGCCGACCTGGGGGGCGGGAGGGCGAGAGAGGTCAGATGAGGAAAGGTTGACACGGGGCGGGGCAATACGAAGTGGCGGAGGAGAGTAACATCTACTTCGGGACCATCTATGGAGCCCTTCCCTCGGTAGTTTCCCAGTTCGCAGTCTGTTGTCGATCGTTCAGAAACTGGCAGTCGATCGTTTGAGGTCATAAGTTTACACTAACGAAACCCTTCGAACCAAACAGTTCGGTCGACCGGGCCCATACCCTCCACTGCCGACCGGCGAACGAGCTCCAGCCCCTGCATTGTTAGCGCTGGCAATATGGCTCCCCAGGGGCAGCAGGTCTGCAAACCCCACTCGAACTTCAATATTTATCCGGTGTAATTTCACATTCTGTTGCCGTTTGCTATCGCGTTCCCGGACCCTATGTGGGCGGGAAATGCGCAGTTCCTGTGCACACCAGTCAATGCTGCCCCCTGTCGGATGGCGTCCCCAAAGGAACGACCACTGGGGATGGGGAGGAAGACGGCATTTCCGTCGTTTGTTTTCCCTGCAGGAGTCCACGAGGCTCCCGGGAGGGGGAGACAACGGGGCACTAGTGGGAACCATGAACCGTTATCTGTCGGAGCTGCGAATGGGGTGGTGCAGTACCGGGTGGGACAGCAGGGGGAGGTCCGAGGAATTGAGGGTCCGGCATAGGGTCACAGTATAGGTATATGGAGGGTCAATGCATGCTGCAATCGGCAGAAACTTGGAAACGTGAACTTAGGCAGACATGCTGATCTTCCACTGATGTAGGCACTTTGTTATCTCATCATGTGTGCAGAAACATGACATCTATGGTATGGCAGGCATCTATCGCTGTCAAGTCCAGGAATCTTAAATGATTGGACTGGCGAAAAGACCGCTGACGTGAATTGAAAGACGACGACAGATAGACGTCTATCCATCATCGGCCGGGCCAAATCAACGTCGACACTCTAACGGCCGCGGCACTTAGTTCGGACGAGCCCGGTGATTCTGAAGGGAATCATTACACGTCCGCGGAGATCCGAGCCCATAATCACGGTAAACCCACTCCCAGGCTACTGAACCATTACAGTCAGCACCGTCCAGCGTATGTACGACCGTATCTGCGTATGATAGCAGTATGCACACCATTGGACAATGGACAGCCACCCAGGCCAAACACCGCGCCCGCCGGAAGTGAGGATTTCCGGTGCGGTCTGTTTTGGATAGAGTATAGACACCTCTCTGTGCACATTTGTTATGGCCCTGCCAGTCTCCCAGTGCTCCGTGCCGCATCTCTGGCGCAGCTCCGCGGCCCGAAGGCATCAGCGCCGCATCTCCGCCCGCATCACCGGCGCGGACAGCCGGGGGCACATCCTGCGGATCCCGTCGGCACACGCACGGCACAGACGCCCATTGTGAGCCGGTGAGGCGGGAGCGGCCAAATAGCCGGCGGCGGATAAAGGCGCCGTGTGCCAGCCGACCCAAAGTGCCGCCACCCAGATCTGGCGATGGGCCTCGAGATGGCCATTAGCGACGTGCTCGGAAAATTCTCGCCTGGTCGGCGGACGAACGCAGAGCGGAGGCCATCTCGGCGGCGTGCTCATCTTGTGGGACGGTGGAAGAGCGGAAGGCCGTAGGCAGATAGAAAATGCATGAATAGGGACGGCACAGTGCGGCGCTGAACACGCAGTCGATGGTGATAACTTCTGAATATTTCAGGACAGGCTCCGAGTGCTTCAGTGTAAATAGTAGCATTACACACACTGCGTTGAATTTTGTAAGTTCATTCGCTATGAGCGAGGTGCGTAGGCATGTGACAAAGTGCAACCCCTCAGTCGAACAGCCGGCCGTATGATGTCACCTCCAGATAGGTTTTCATTCCAGTCAGCATCCGCACACTTCACTGGTTTTCCCAGTTCTCCCACTTCTGAGACGCTGACGGCAGCACAGCCTCCCTGGCCCCTCCACTACAGCCCTTCCACACCTCGTGCCCCTGCCAGACACCACTGTAAACCTGGGCACGGCCGACCCCGCTGCCGATCACCCCCTCCCCGCCCCTCCCTGTGACCTCCTGACCCGCCGGCGGGGGGTGTTTACGGCTCCGCGGGAGGACACAGGTGCCGACTGAGCTCCCATCCGGCGCCTCGGGGTGTGGCTGACAGCCGGCGGTCACAGAGCGCTCAGCAGGGCGCCGCGGGGACAGACCCGAGATCTCCAGACGGGCACGGGCGCAGAGACCCACTGTGGCACGATCCGGAGAGAAACGAGACGATCTGGCGGCGCACCCCCGGCGGGTCAGGTGTCGGCCGGATGCCGGGAGTGGCGCAAAGGTGTGTCTGAGGTCAGACAGATGGTCCGGGTGGCAGCCTGAGAGGCGGACTAGTAGTGTGAAAGTGGCTGAGTGTTTACATTGAAGTATTTAGACTGCATGGATATAGGGGAAGGTGGGGTAAGACGGACCAGCTAAGATTTGAGGCCGCATATCTTGCTACACTGCTCTCGTAATTCATATTATCTATAGTCTTCGGAATGCTCAATCCTTCCTCTGTTGATACGTGTAAAGACTAAATTTCAAATTAAAGACATCTAGGTGGTGGATGCTCTTAAAGAGGGACATGTCAAAAACTCAGACAAGAAAAAACGTGGGGTAAGACGGACCACCCAGCAGTGCCTGCTATCCGTTCATGTGTGTTACACTTCTGCTCTGTACTCTTGTAAGAAAATGTAACCAGAATGGTAAAATAACAAAATGAGCCTTTATTCTTTACTCATGTGTGATGGAAGTGCAGCTAAAAGCTGGGAACATGTGTATTGATTGTCGTTTGGCATGAATGCATGCTAACTGAGCACTTGCATGCATGGCTCACATGCAACAAAGACTCCTTCCTGAAAAATTAGCTTACTTAAACTTGTGTCAATGTTTTGGAAAAGAACTTTCCATATGCAGGGTACAATGGACCACTACAGGGTAAGATGGACCACAGTGGTCCGTCTTGCCCCAAATCTAAATTCTGTCATTATCATGACGTATATGTCAAATAGCCCAACATTGCAAAACCTTCCCTTTCCTAAAGTGTGACTATAACTAAGTTTATAACTTTGTTCTTCACAGTTAAGTGCAAAATAAAAACTAATCATGCAAGAAAGGCGCCGTAATTGAATCACCCGTAGACCTCTTATATTAGATCGGTTTGACGAAAAACAACATTTTTCTCAATAACTCAAAAGCTATGCATCCTAGCAGCATGAGCTCAATGTGGCCATTGTAGCGAAGGAAAACAAACATAGTGAGTGCATAAAGCAGTAGATACCAGCAGCGGTTCAGCCGGGAGGGCTGGTGGTCCGTCTTGCCCCGCTGGGCCGTCTTACCCCACCTTCCCCTAAGATATGGGGCATGGCCTTTTCAACCAATTCTGGTGCTATCAGACAGCTGTTTGTTTTGTTTAGTTAGGAAGTGAGCAAATTGGCGTGCAAAAGACAGACAGCTGTTCCATATATTGAGATTGTCCTTTCAACACATAATTAGCTAAGTCAAAGACCAACTACTATTGACGCAGGTGGTGTCACCGCTTAGCTGAAAATGCTCAACGGCAACAAGTAAGACCTAAAAGCGCGGGTCCTATGTGCGGGCGTGTCAGGTGTGTCGGCTGCCATGTGTCTTTTGTGCCGGTTTTGTCCGGTATCTGGTGTGTCAGATGTGTCGGTTTTGTCCGGTATCACGTGTCGGGCAGGTGTCATAGCGCGGCGCGCACACCGGTCCGGCGGCGGCCGCTGCAGTGACACCGTCCCAGCACGCGGCCGGGCCGTGACTGCGCGCTCGGATTTCCTCCAGAGGACGCGGACGGACACGGCGTCCGAGCCATAGCGTGACAGGGAAAGGTCAGACAGCGGTTACAAGGCGGACGGCCGGGTCAGAAACGGGCGAAACCAGTTAGCAGAAGGCCGCCGACTCGAGCCCAAGTTCTGTAACAAGTCGCACGGCCCCGTTTAAGTATTCTGACAGGCGCTGAAAGTAGACTGAAATGTTCATGTGCTGCTCGTTACCAGAAACAGGGTGTCTTAAGCCAATCTTTGACACTGAATAAAACAGCATTACAGTGAAGTTAGAAGCATGCAGACAGCCTAGCCTTTGCAAGGTCGCAGGTCGTGTGAGGCGCCTCTATTGTTCAGGGAAGTATTCAGATTCGGAAAGAATGTTCCACTTTCAGCAACGATATTCATTCTGATTTCACTTCAGAACACAACAGTGCCCGTGATTAGGCCATCACCGAAATAAAGGAATTCACTCATTAGTAAATAAAAACGAGACACGAAAGGAACAAACAGGTTGCCCAAAGCGAAAACACCTTTGCGAACTTCTTCGGAGTGTTAATGCGTTGAAACAAGGACAACCATGCGGCTTTTCAGAATTTCTCTCTTCTCGCCGACACACCTTCCGAGAAAGATCATATCATCTCAGACGATGGCTCGGAGGGTGTTATTTCCATACCGGAGTAGGACAATCGACTGCTTTGATTAATTCGCAAAGGTGTGGCATCACCACATCAAGGCCGAAGGTAGCGGTGACCACAGCACCATCGGGTGCGAGGGTGAGGCGTGGTGAGAGGGAATCCTCCAACAGCGGAGAAATAAAATCCACAGAGAGCGGAGCACAAGCGACAGAATTAACCGCACATGCTGTGATTGTGGATTTGTCGTCACCAAAAAGTGGCAGGCCACACATGTCTAGTAGCATCACTGTCGCCGATGCGATAGACAATGACATGTTCCGTACTACATGAGCTGTTGAGCGATTTACAGCACAATCCATAATTCCAAGCAGCTATGCCTGTATTTCAGTCTCTCGTTACCTATGAGAAAAAGGTTTCATGCTATCCACGAGCCAGTGGTAAACGTTTCACCTCTGATACAGCGTGACACACATCACACCTAGCGTCACAAAAATGCAGTGGCGACTGTGTGTCGGAAAGTGGGCGGCATTAACTGTACCGGGGCTGATCTCGCTGTAAAGACCAACGGCAGCAGGCCGTTACAAATAACACAGACACAAGCAGTTACGGGTGAGCGCGCTCCAGAATTAAATGGTGTCTGGGATACTGCCGCCATGGATTGCTGGGCACTGGGGGAGATTATAGCAGTAAAACGGAAATGAAACGCCTACCAGAGACCGGATAAAAGACATCGACCGACAAATTAGGGGATTAACTTTATGCGAGTCTGTCAAGTATGCACGTGCGCTCTGGTTCGTTCAATGTTGTTATATAAAATGAAAACTTCTAACAATGTAATTGGTTCTTTTTCTCGTGTCCCTTTCCAAGTGTCGGTATTTCATCAGTACACTCGGGCCATTTGCAGTCCAATTCATCCCGCCGAATCTTCCTACCTGCCTGTTACGCCCCACCACTCTCCTATCTCATGCAGTCTTACCGCGGTGGTCCTGGTGGCGGGGCTGCCGGCGCGGGGGCCGGCCCGGTCCCCTCCACCGGGCGCAGGGAGTCATCAGCGGACGGCACGAGCTCCCTGGGCGCCGCGGCCGTCAGGGAGGTCAGCGTCAGCGTCAGCAGCGCCAGCAACAGCGGCAGCGAGGTCCGACCATGGTCTGAAATGGTACGCGGCCTCGGTCAGTTCAGGGGCCAGTACGGCAGGGGTGGACCGACCAGGGTGGAGCAATGGTTACCAGGGGCACGGACGATAGGCGCCCACCGCCAGCCCACCCGGCGACGTCAGTCAACACGCATATCACTCAGCAGAACGGTCCCTCAATACACACATCAATCAGCGTATACGTCAGTCGCCGCCTCATCATATACCCCAGCCGCGCATCACTTGCTAGTCGGTAACACACATCGCTCACCGCTCGCCGCTAATATAAGCTGCTAGAACCCACACACGACACCGTATCGCTCACCGGCGACCATTGCAGCGTGTTACGTAAGCAAAGGTGCGTAATTGATAACGTGCTGGAGCTATAAACCGTCTACCAGGGCCAAAAAGGTGGCAGGATAAAAAGCTGAAGCTCAGTCTTGAAACGGGATTTCGTATAGAAAATAACCGAAAAGCACCAAGAAGCACTGGAGATCGAAATGAAACGATTCAGCGGAACAATGCACAGTAAAGGCCAAGCCACGAGTGAAGAAACTGAAACAATAACACCGCTAAATGCAAACCTTCACCAACACACAGCCCTTGCGCTACCGTGCGCCAGGGAGGCGCCCCGGAGTGTCACCTACGCGGCGTGCGCCACTCACGTCGCACGTGCGCCATTAGTGCTGTCACTGGTGCCACTGGCTGCGGCGGGTCGGCCGCAGAGGCTTCCCCCGAGGTCGGTCAGGTCAGCCGTGTCAATACCTAGGGCTTCCGTGTCGTGTGAGCGGTGTGCTCACGACATCCGCTGACCCCGCGCCCCGCCCGCGGTCACAGAAGGACGGCACACGCACCCCGACCGACAGAATAGTGGATAGGTAGGTACTGCGATAAGTAATGGCACTCGGACCCCCGGAACCATGTCACAGGACACCGCAAAGAGCGGCCAGCCGGCTGTGATCGCCAAGCCGGCGATCAAAAGACAGAACTCGGACTGCGGTGTCTACAGGCCAGTGGCAGCGCGAATCAGTGCTGGCCTTCGCTAACGAGAGTTTGGCATTTCATCCTGTCGACTAACAGAGATAATCCGTGCCGACAGCCGGATATAGCCCATCAAACGCCGATTGAAGTCACGCCTCTATGCGATGCCAATTGGTGCTGGTTGGGTACAGTCGGTTGTATGGTGGCGTAAAGATAGAATATGACGCGCGGTTCGTGCCAAACAGGGCCCATGAAAGACACTAACGCCTGTGTGATTGATGCAACTCAGAATAGCCGATGGCGGGCGGAGCTTGAGCCGACCCCAGGAATAGACGATACGTGACCTGAGCCAAATTGGGTTACGTGAGGTCCGGTGAAGTCGGAGGCGGTGGGTACTACCCTGGAGGAGGTGTGCCGTGCGGCAGACCTGCACTGTGTCCGGTCGGGGCCACAGTTCAGGGTCTGGACCGGTCTGTCTGACCTCTCCCCCGGAGCTGGGCGTGTCAGACCGCCGTCTGGTCGGGTCGCCGCCCCAGTCTGGATCGTTGTCTGGACCGACCGGGGGGCTCTGCCGGGCCGACAGTTTGCCATCGATCGCGACGGGCGGTCGTCGGCAGCGGCGGCGGCTGTGGCGCAGGTCCGCGCCGGCCGACCGGCCGGCCGACGCCCCGAAATAGCCGTCGACCGACCGACCGAGCGGCTCTCCGTGCCGCCCGGGCGGCGGCGCCGTCCGTCCATCAGCCGGCCAGGTCATGACCCGGCGTCCTCAGCTGAGGTGCAGTCCGCGGGGAACAGGCACACACTACGGGCGAGCTCGTCCCGGCACTGCTGGTCCCTCGGAGACAGGCCGTCCAACGGGTATGTGGAGGGGAGAAGAAAGGAAACGGACACGACAGGCACTTTGTAGAGGCGAAAGGTCAGCGGCGGCTGCGAACGAATGGGTTTTTAATTTCCACAAAAAGTGGACAAACTGGTCTCCGTAAGGGAAGGGGCGTGATCAAGGCCATTCGTGGATGGAGCTGAACAAAACTTGAGGTAGAGAGGAAGAGAGATAGAGAGGTAGAGAGGTAGAGAGAGAGAGAGAGAGAGAGAGAGAGAGAGAGAGAGAGAGAGAGAGAGAGAGAGAGAGAGAGAGAGAGAGAGAGAGAGAGAGAGAGAGAGAGAGAGACCATCTACAGGCCACAGTCCGATGATAGTTTGGCGAACCATTACTGTTCCGTTCCAACTTTCTGTCCTAATGCTGTCACTTAGAGCTTTTTATTGGCCGTTTCCACATAAATGTGGGATAAATGGGTGCCTTTCAGCAAACTAAAAACTAAGAAAAAGGCTACGTTTCGTGCTTTCTTGCTGTGAATACCAATCCCTTGTTCCCCTGTTTCATATCATAAAAGAAAGGCAAACTGATTCTATCAGCAGTAGGGCACTGAGCCTCTCAAAAGCAATTGGAACTTCCCTGGATTTTTTTTCTAAGATAGTCCGTTACCCATGATCAGGTAACCAGGAGTGCCCCCTCCCACAGTCCCGGCGACGCACAGAGACCTTACTTTAACACCAGGTAACATAATAACATAACGGATGGTAACATAATGGATGCCATACGTTTGTTACCTACATAGGTGCGGCAGATACAATAAAAATAACACATTAAAGTGAGTCAATAACTACACAATATAAATGACTTTTTCAGGTAATGGAGTGTTTACTTACATATTACAGCCTAATATCAAAATATTTAATTTCAAAATGCGATTGGTGGCGCAAATTAGGGTACACACAGTGAACTGTGACTAACATACCACATATATCAGCCATATCAGGGCTTATGGTGATCCCCTGCGCGGATCCGGAATTCAGGGTTATCTCTGACTCAGGACAAACTTCTGAGTGACGTCAACTGCTATCATGAGGAGACGTCGCGCATTAATTTTAAAGCATGGCAAAGATTGCCTATCCATAGATTGTTATATATCACAAAAGCACTCGATAATCGTTCGTCGACGCAATGAACCTGTCGTGAGAGATTAAGTAAATGGCGATCTGCGCATTTGAGGCCCGAAGTCCCTCACCTGTATAACATATTTGGATAAAGTGACCCAAAGGTCAACGATGCACTGTTGGCCGCTGGGCAAAAAGACTTCCCCTATTAATCACATTTTTAGAATGGCATTGCAAATAATATCCAATGTTTACGAATCTCCTATCAAAATGTAGTTTTACACCTGATCTCGTGGCAGTGGGTTTCGATAGGCGAACATACCGTGTTGGTCAGGAACGGTGGCCAGAGTCCGGGACATGTCTCATTTCAGGGCAGCCCGGCCGGTTGGTGGCCCACGCCCTGTAACAGAGAGCATAGAACAGGTCAGACTTAGGTCAGACACAGCACAGGCACAGGTCGCCACGGTGCAGAGCTAACGGAGAACATGGCACAGGTCAGACTCATGACGGTATCGAGCGCACATAACTGGTGATACACACAACTAGAGGTGGCAAAATGTGGACCCGAGGACCCGGTCCAAAGAACCAGTCTGGACCCATATGGGTCCAGATTGGTTCCTGGAAATTTTCTGACGAGTCCAACCGGGTCCTACCAAAAACTGTACAACTTGCACACTACACATTATTGCAAAATATGAAGTCAATGAAGTGAATGTTTCTTGGCACACAGTAGCTCATGAGTATTCCCAGTGAGAAATAGGCTGCTTTACATGATGCAACTAATGATACCTACAAATAGTTTGTATTAATCGACTTTTGGGGAGCCGGGTCCATTTGGGTCCGATTCCAACTAAGGCCGGGTCCGACTGGTTCCAGAAATGTCCAGCCGGGTCTGGTTCGAGTCTGGTTCCCAAAATTTTTATCTTTTGCCACCTCTACACACAACACACTAGAAAATGTCAGACTTGAACGGTCTTGTGCACAGAACAAACGGAGCACATCGTAATCGTTTTAGACCAGTGGCGTACCCAGGAATTTGCGAAGGACCAGGGCATCGACTGGAGGGGCGCCAACACTGGACAGAGGGGCGCCACCCACCATCATCTAGGAGCGCGACGCTATCGATTGGAGGGGCGCCAATACTGGACAAAGGGGCGCCACCGGCAGGCACGTACCCAGGATTTCGCCCAGGAGGGGGCCACCTGCTTTCGAAGGGGCCCCCACAGTGTATAGGGCCCCCGGGTTCCCCGGGGGCCCCCGGGAGTCATGAAGAACCTTTCGATGGTGGGGGGGGGGGGCATAGTGGATCTGGTCTCTCCTGCAGACGTAGGTGAGAAAACGCCACGTGTGTGGGAAAACGCAATTCAGTTCTTTACAACCTAATGCAGCATTTGGTTGTGACTTCTCGCGTTCAACTTCATCAAAGTCAATTAAAACGGTCTCTGTAACGGTCTAAGCCTTGAGAAAATGTGGAAAATTGGAAAGTAAAAATATTTTTGCTTGAGGAGTGTGCATGAAACGCACGGCATTTTATGAGCGAGCGCCTCAATTACTGAACATCCTCCAATTCCGGATATGTAGGTATATAATATAATAGTGGGGAATAAATGTCTCGTTATCGGAATTCCACTATCTGGCAACTAGCCCTATGTAAACGCGGCTATTATATGTTTCACTAGCCCGCGCCCGGCTGGGGGTCCTGGATTTCCACGCCCTGCTGCCCCCCCCCCCCTTGCAACTCGGCTCCTGGGCCACGTAGCGATACGCGGAAGGCGGCGTTCGAAAGAGCGTAAAAAATAATGACGAAATCACTTCGGTCAATTTTTTGGTCAGGTCAAAGGTGAGGTCACCAGAGGTCATTGAAGGCAAAATTTCGCCGATTTCCAGGTCGAATGTCGAAAATTTCCAAGAAGCCAACGCATAACTCGGGAACCAATAGAGCTACAGCGCCGCGGAAAAGTGCATTCGATAGCCCTATTAACACCCTTTCTGAGTAATTCTATCAGATTTGACCTAACGTCAACGGTTTTGCCTGCAGGGGGCAAAAACTGCAAAAATAGCCGATTTTTTCGGAAAGTTTTTCTGCAATAACTTTTGACCCAAGCCTTGTACGAGCTTACTTTCACCGGCATCGTGTTCCTCTCGTCAAGACGCATCGAATGAACTATAACTTGACCTTGAAAGGTCAACTTGAAAATTTGACCTCAGGTCAAGGTCATGACCTGACCGGAAAGGGTCATGTTGCATATCAGTCGATCCGTATCGTCGAGCTGAACACATATAACGCGTTTTCATCGCTCTAGCATGCCTCTATCAAAAGTTATTTGCGAAAAACTGTTAAATACCATTCGTGACCTAAGATGACCTCAAGGCACAAACAAGGGTCACGGACACCATTCTCATGTTCAGTGTGTCTAAACCACTTGTAATTCGGTGTTTGGGAGTGTTTATAATGTCCTTCGTCCAAAAGAGGCGCATTTCAATTTTCTCCCATTGACTTATAATGGGGAGGTCGCAAAGTTGACCTGGCCTTAGGTCATCAATATCAAAATTCTGAGATATACATTTTGTACATGCTATTGCTCCTAGCAATCGCTGAAAGTTTCAAAGCGATCGGTCACTCGGTGTAGCTATGACAGACATTGAAACTTTTTATGAGGTGAGGTCACTTCAAGTGACCTGGTGACCTGACCTTGAATGACCTTGGTCTGAAATTTTCACAACATGTGTATAATTGATGTATGATAAGGTGTACCAAAAACGGCTCCTTCAGATGAGTGCCTACTCCAGTCACTACTTATATCCAGTAGCCAGTAGCCACTCAGATGATTTGGGATCAATCAGGTGATAAGCGTACTTTCAGACGACCAGGGGCCCCCAGTCGACCAGGGGTTCCCAGGCGACCAGGTCCTCCAGATGACTAGGGGCCCCACTGCCCCAGGCGACCAGGGCCCTCCAGGCGACCAAGGGCCAATGCGATCAGGTCCCCAAAGCGATCAGGGGCCCCCAGGCGACCAGGGGGCCCCCATGCGACCAGGGGGCCCCATGCGACCAGGCCCCCGGCTACCAGGGGCCCCCAGGCGACCAGGGGCCCTTTAGGTGACCAGCGGCCCTCAGGCGATCAGGGGCCCCCAGGCGACCAGGGGATCCCAGGCTACCAGGGGCCCAAGGCGACCAGGGTCCCCCAGGCGACTAGGGGCGACCGGGGGCCCCAGGCAACCAGGGTCCCCATGCGGCCAGGCCCCCCGGCTACCAGGGGCCCCCTGGGCGACTAGGTACCCCCAGGCGATCAGGGGCCTCAATATCATGCAACCAGAGGCCCCCCATGCGACTAGGGCCCCCTAGGCGACTAGGGGCCACAGACTATCAGGGGCCCATACGACCAGGCCCCGGGCTATCAGGCCCCCTAGGCAACTAGGGGCCCCAGTCGATCAGGGGCCTCATGCGACCAGAGGCCCCCCCCATGCGACCAGGGCCCCCTAGGCGACTAGGGGCCACGCCGCCACAGGCTATCAGGGGCCCCATGAGACCAGGCCCCCGGCTACCAGAGGCCCCCTAGGCGACCAGGGGCCCAGGAAACTGGGGGCCCTTGGATGACTGCAGGGGCCCCTCGGGTACCCAGGGCACGTAAATGAAACTTTAATATCAATTTTTCTTCCGAGTAAAAGACATTTTATCCAGTGTTTAAAAAAATATCCTGGGGCCTGAGGGGCCCCCTGAGCGCCCCCCTGAGCGCCTTCGGCGCTCAGGGGGGGGGGGCCTTGGCCCCCGTGGCCCCCCCCCCTTGGGTACGTCACTGGCCACCGGCCCACCATATCGTCTAGGAGGGCGCCACTATCACCAGAGGAGCGCCAATACTGGACAGAGGGGCTTCGCCATCAACTAGAAGCGCGCCGCTATCGACTGGAGGAGCGCCAACACTGGACAGAGGGGCGCCAGTCACTGAGGGCGCCGGGGACGATGAGCCAAAGGGACAGGGCATGCACGGAATGTCCTGTATGTGCGTACGCCACTGTTTTAGACCAAGGATGTTACCAGAACTCCGCACGAGACACAAGACTGCACTAGACACATGCAAGTGACAGAGACCGACATCAAAAACTCACTCAATACACTCCAGCAAGCATTCCGTGATCAAAGCACAAATCAGATCAAAGCGCGTATGCCCTCGGCAGTAATAACTTCAACACTGAGCCCTCTCAGTCGGTTGCCATCGCTGCGATTTCCTTCAATATTGAAAATTCACAAATATAATGGATATCACGTCCTTCCGCCAACGTCACGGTGCAGGCGGTCCGGACAGGTTGAGGTGAGCCGAACCGAGAACAATGGACGAGCCGATCGATGTTTATAGGAGTGCACAACACACGGCACCGTCCAGCAGGGTACGGCACGGCGCAGTACAGCACGGCACGAACAGTACGTCCCCCAGCCATTCTGGAGCGTTCGTCAGGGGCAGACGGCCCCAATTCACCAGCCAGCAGCGGCAGGAAGCATGCAAGGCGGCCCACCGCGCACCGCTGCCCCCGGCGAGGTCACGGCGCCAGCCACCCGGCTAATCCCGATTCAGCGGGGCACGGCTAATCACACAGCCCCTTACCTCACGCTCATATTTCCGCCACACGGAGCGTGAGGTGGAAGGACACCCAGGGGAGGGGCTGCAGGCACGTGTCCCCGCAGACCCACCGGAGCCAAGGACACGGGTCTACACTCCCCAGAGCGGCCCGCACCGGCGCTACCTGGTAATTCAGAGGCGCGCCGCCGGAGCTCAGCCGGCAGAGAGCCTTTTACGAGCGCGCCAGAGTGCAGACATGCCTGTGGCCTGATAATGCGGCACTCTGGGCGGTAATGGACGCATTCCTGCATGGTGAGGGACCCGGAGGGACACACGTGGCTGGCAGAACCACCATTACCGTGGAATAACCAGCCTGAGAGCGGGATGGTGCAGACTTCACTACTCGTCCACCTGGTGCTGTTTTTACAGTTCCATCAAACCGAGAGCTGGAAGAGACCGCGGCACATGCTGGAACAGCAGCCTTTGCTTAACTAAAGACAGAGCACTGCCTTATCGGCATCCATTTGTTTTTGTGCCATCCATATGTTTATATTCCCGATCATACACACAAGCCCCCGCCCGGGCTGCAGCGCGGACCGAGCCGCCCCACTCCGGCTGGTCCCGCCGACCTGTGGCGGCCACGTGGGCGTCAGCCGGCGCTAGGCCAGGGGCCTCCGTCCGCCTCATGGCCCGCCGCATTGCGACACGGCACCCAAGCCGGCCGGCCGGGGCACTCGGTCGAAATATGCTGATCAGTGAGCCGGACCGGGCGCGGCGCGGCGAGGCCGGCCGGACGGACGGGGCGGGGCTGTCGCCGGGTCCGCGGCCCACGTCTGTCCGCCCGG